CATCCTGAGTGAGGTAACCCAGACTCAGAAAGACAAATATGGTATGTACTCACTCATAGGAAGATGCTAGATTTGGAACAAGGATGACTGGACTGCTACTCACATCACCAGTGAACTTTCTTTAGTCATAAAGAACACTGAAATAATGAAATTTGCAGGAAAATTTAAGAAATAACTATGTTAGGGGAAGTAACTGAGACTCAAATATAGAAGAACACTAAAAAGAAAATCTCTGAATCTTCATTTCCTTTGCAGCTCTAGCTCCTGATTTTTAAATATGTGTATTTATATGAAAATTAGTTTTGGTGTAAGTCATAAAACTATAAAGGGACCTGTCAGAGGGAAAAGGAGATTTTTAAGTAAAGCATGTGAGAAGGTTAATGCAAGACATATTTAATGAAAAATGGAAGGGAGACTGTTTGGGGTTCACATAAGAGTCTAAGAAGTGGAGTTTAGTGAGAGGGATAGAGAAAGGGATCAATCAAAAAAAGTATGTGTCTTAGTTACTGTTCTATTACTGTGAACAGATATCATGACCAACATAACTTATAGAAGAAAGCATTTGATTGGGGACTTGCTTATAGTATCAGATATTAAGTCCATAGCCCTCATAGAGGGGAACACAGTGGATGTCAGATAAGCAAGAACGGTAGATGACAGTATATGTGTTTATCTCCAAGCTTGAGCAGAGAGATAGAGAGAAAAACTTGGCCTGGCATGGGCATTTAAATACTGAAAGTGCACCATCAGTGACATTCCTCTGCCTTCCTAAAAGTCCACCAACAGAGAACCAAACATTCTTATGTTAGTCTGTGAAGGACATTCTCATTTCAGCCACCACAGTATGTATACACATGTCATAATGAAATTCATTACTTTGTATGCTATTAAAATATGTCAGTCAATGAATTAAAGAAACGATCAGATGGAAATATTTATTGTTAGTAAGGGACATGGTAAGCAAAGAGTCCGGGCTGTACATAAAGTCCACACAAAGAGAACAGGCTGATGCTTACTTCATCAACAAAATCAAAGCCAGAGGTTCAAATAAACTCAACCTACAGGGTCAGATCTGAAGAAAATGGTTCCTAAAGGTCCTGGTGGTCTTGCTTTAGAGATAGATGCTCTATCCTATAACCCATCACACTGTCCTGTGCCCTCTCAACTTTTCAAAGGGGAAGGGAAGATGGACAGGATAGAATCTGAGACACTACTGATATCTTTGGTCAGTTTCCAAAGAAACAAAACCTAGAGTTGTTTTTCAAGTGATTATTTTTTCTCTTTCAGGAAATAACTTTCATGACATTGGGAGATGGGTCAAGAGGTAAGTGAATTAGAAGCTAAGTAAGAGAAATGTGGACCCAGTCCTAGACAATACTAAAGGACAAATAGCCCTTAAAAAGTGGTTTGAGCTTGAAGCACTTCTGAAATCCGTATCAGGCTCTCTTGAATTGAGAACTATTCTTAGCATGAGAGCAGAGAGAGTAAAGCCCACTAAGCTAATAGCTCCTATTATAAACAGTGGTAACTGGATAGCATACTGCCAAGTAATAACTTGTGAAGGGAACATATGGTGGTAGACTGGTGGTATAGTTGTATGGAAAAGATGGTCCCTAATCTACCACACTTCACATAAGAAGCATGATTTATTATTACAAGAGCAGAAAATCAGTCTTTTCTAAAGTGCTACTGCAGTACATATACTGTTGATAAAATATACTTCTAAAGTTCAGGAGTATTACAAGTCCAGCATCTTCAGGTAACTCTAATTTATTTCAATAAAATATTTATATATAAATACATATTTACATTTATAAAAATATTATGTCATATATCATATAAATATATAAAATTGT